AAACACAATTTATTAATATACAGCGTAAATACCTATTTTTATCTATCTCGCGCTGAGATAAAATTGCTTATTTAATTTTAAAAAAAAATAATTCCCAACAAAAATTTAGCGGATTTGGTTCAGTCAATTACAGAGAAGAAACCTATGGAAAGTTTTGCAAGGTAAAGAAAAAAAAATTTATTTTTGAATTTGAATTGAACTAAACTAGCTGTAAATAGAAATAGAAAAGGTGGGGTAAAACTCAATTACCAAAATCAGAATATGAAGATCTTTTAAATTAATGTTCAAAAAAACTTTACCAGCAAATATTTTACGTACTTTTTCAGCTGGAAATCAGATGCTGTTTTACTAATTGAGCTTCAAAATGTATGTCGTTGAGGGTTCTTTCAATATAGTCGAGAATGTGACCAACGTTGTTATCAAACAGTATTGTGCTGTAATGCCGTCAAAAGTTCTAACTTTCCGCGGGCTCTTCAAAAAAAATTGACGACGTAAGTATAAATGTGATTTTAGCAATTCAAAGCTTGATGAAAATTTTCTAAGATGTGTACGGATCAACATGCTGTGTCATGTACTAATCGACATTTCATCGTGCTCTTTATCTTTACAAATACTCTTGATCATTATTTATGCTAGAAGAGAATATAAGCGAAACTTCTAAAGAGAATTCGAATAAGGCGGAGCCTGTGTTATTCAGGAATTATATGGAAAGAGCATTTTCAACTTTATCGGACATGTAGGTCAGTATTATAATTTAAATTCCATTTGTTGCTCTTTGATCGTTATATCCAAAGGACTATTTATTTTAATTTGTAATTAGATACACTATATGCGGTAATATCTGTGAGTATCATTCCGAGAAACGGTCATCAATTTATTTCTGCATATACTAAAATACATTTTATATGAAAAAGGTTTTTAATAGGAATGTTTTTTTTTTTCTTCCTCGAACAATCACCATCACAACTGTAATTATTAACCACCGAAAGCAACCCGAAACTCACTCCATCGGTTTGATCAGATAAATTTGAAAATGAAGTTAAAGAACAAAGACGGGCATGGTATTTGTTATGGGCGTTTGAAACAAATAAGAATAACATGGCAAATGCATATATTCAATATATTTATCGTATTATTCTATGATTATTTTCAATTGACATTTATTTTACAAGGAAATCAGTATTAGTTGAGCGTGCTTATTTTGAGACAGTTAAGCGTCGATATTCACGTCAGGTCATAAAATTATGTATCTAGTATAATTGGCGCGTCTTTAAGATGATGTTAGAATATTGGTTAGTGAAACAATTCGTATACAAATTATAATATTTCCATACCACTTTAATGAAATAGACATTAAAATTTTCATACTTTAGGTCATCTGCTAGTAAAGGTGAATTTGAAATAGGATATGAGAGATACGTTCAAACATGTGAATATGCCTTTGATGGTTGACTTCCAATTATGAAAACGAGTATAGAGATTATTCCTGAATTAGTACTTCAAGTAACTATGAATTCATGATTCTTTACTTTGAACGCTCTTTTAATTATTATTCTTGGAAAAGGGTCATTCGTTGTGGGTTTAAGGTAGCCAATCCGAAATGGAAGAATTCCGATATATAAGAAAATTAAATTCATTAAAATCTTTGGGATTCAACAGAGACTAATTAAATTCAGGCACTCACCTAAGGAATTAATAGTTAATACTCAGATGAAGGAAAAGATCCTTTTTTTTTTTTTTTTTTTTTTTTTTTTTTTTTTTTTTTTTTATATTTAATTTTATTGAACTTTTTTTGGTTTGTTTGTTTTTTTTTTTTTTTTCTATATT